GGGGGGGGGTGAGCAACGACACCAAGTTAGAGAGTGTGCTCTGCAGGGGCACCAGAGAACCCAAGGAGGTTCCAACTGGACAGGCAGAGCCAGTGGCCTGGGTCTTCTGCTTCCCTCCCACCAGCAGAGCACACATCATGCCCCCACCTCACATGGAAGGGAAGAAAGGGCAGCCCCAGCCCGCATGGGCAGTGTGGAGAGAAGGGTGAAAGAGGTCTCTGAAAGAGGGGCTTCTCGGCTTCATCCAACCCCACTCCAGCCAACCCCGCTTGGCCCTCTTGGCTCATCCCAGTGGGGGAAGGGGAGGGGCCCAGTGGCTAGAACCTTACCAGAGATGGTGGAAGCCATGAGCATGGTGGGGCTGGGACGTGTGTCCTGAGCACCTGGAGGAGATAGGGTGGTGTGCTCAACTTCCCATCCCAAAGGGCCAGCCCTGCTGCCCAGAGTCCCTGGACAAAGGCCCTTAGGTGCCAGGGTGGGAGAGAGAGAGAGAGAGAGAGAGAGAAAGAGAGAGAGTGTGTGTGTGTGTGTGTGTGTGTGTGTGTGTGTGTGGTAGGGTGGGAGTGGGGGTTCCAGCTTGTGCATGCAACTGTGTGTGTACATGTGTGTGTGCCAGCAATTAGGCACGGCGGTACATCCTTAGCTGGATCAAGGTTGGTGAGGTCTGGGCCTACTGAGTCAGGCATGGACCTTGGGGCCCTGCTATGCTCCTCCCAGGACTGGCAGGGGAAGATAGAGGGACAATTAAACAGATGGACAAACCAAGCCTAGGACCCACCTAGGCAGTCCACAGACCCAAGGCAAACATATAGAACCCCCTGCCCTAACAGAGGCCAAGAGAGGGGTCATGGGAGAGCTGGGAACTGGGTGGGAAAGGCCAGCGTGCCCCCGGGGCCCCTTGCAGCCCCTTACCTGGCCAGGCTCCCGGGTTCCTGGGAAGCTGGGCAGCAGCAGGCTTGAAGGTGTCTCAGGAGCTCAGATCTGCTCTCCATCGCCCGCCCCGCCCCAACCCAGCCTCTGGGAGTGACCTGCCCAGGAGGGGACTTCCTTCCCCCTCCCCTATGCGCCTCCCCTGGCCTCCTGCCTGTGGCACTGGGAAGGACTGCTTCCCTTCCTGCCCCCAGCCCCTCCCAGGTCTGTCCCCAGGATTCCATTCCTGAGGGCCCGGAGGCTGGTCCCCAGCTTGACCTGGCTGTGACCGCCAGGCTGGCTGCCTCTCCCCTCTGCCCCTGCCGCCCCCATCCCCACAGGGCCGACTTTACTAGAATGTTGGGTCTGGCAAGGATCTGGGAGATCATTTAGTTCAGCGTCTCCATTTTATAAGTGGGGAAACTGAGACCAAAGATGGGTGAGACTGGCTCAGGATCATACAGCTTTTTTGTGGCAAAGTTTGATTCCTCTTTCCCAAGCCAGGCTCCTTCCGTCTTGCTTTGGGCCAGAGTGAGGAAAAGGTGAGAGCTCAAAGAATCCCCATAAACACGGCCCCTCCCCCTCCTCAATTAGGGCCAGCCTCAGATGAAGGACAGGAAGGGAGGAGGTGGGGTGGGATCAAGGTCTTAACCTACCCTGTGAGATCCAGTTTCCTCCCCAAGGCCCAGTGGGAGCCCAGACAACCCTCCCTCCTCCTCTCCCACCTGAAACTACCTGTCCTAGGAGAGGGCTTCTGAGCTCCTGCATATTCCAGCTCTCCCTCTCCACCTCTCCCCTCCCTCACCAGCTCCTCTCATAAGCCCTCACTTATATGAAACAGCCATACGCCCACAAAGGCATACACACTTGACATCATAGACACAGACACACACTGAGGCTCCTGCACCCTGTGTGGAAGGCCTGAGAGAGGAGCTTCCCTGCCAGGGGCTTCAGGGCTGGGCCTTCCCTGCTCTTCTCCCCTTAGGCTCCAGGGCTCCCTCCAACCTCTAGCCCATCGTTTTCCCCCATCCCAGGCACCCTCTTTCCACCCTTCCCCTGCCTTGCCACAAGCCTTGGCCTCCCTCAGCCTAGGCTGGCCCAGCCTAGCCCAAGGCAGTGGCCTGCACACTGCCAAAGGCCAGGCTCTGTCCTGAGTTCGACTCTTTTCTCCTGTTTGTTCATCTTCTCTGTTGACCTGCAAGCCAAGAGACCAAAACAGCCCCTCACTGATCAAGCCCAAGTACAACCAAAGCCAAGGCCTCCTCTTCCTAGCCAGAGAGACTGGCTGCACCCCAGCGCCCCCCAGCCTCTGACCAGGCAGCAGGGGATTTGGAGGCAGGTGTCTTATACACATACCATATCCCCACCCTACACACTGCACACACAGTGTACAGTACACACTATACCTACACGTGTCACACATGCAGCAAGCACCCTGTGCACACACATGTACCACACAAACACCCTACCCCCGACATTACACATGTGCCAGGCTGCAATGGCTGCTGTGGCTTTGGTTCCCAAGACTCTCCCAGCCTTGCAGGCAAGGTGGGACCTCCCTGGTCCACCCTCCGAACTCAGGTGCCTGCAGAAGAACATATGTCCCTGCTTTGCCATCCCCAGCTGGATGACCTTGCACAGGCTATGCCCAACTCTCTGCTCCTCAGCTTCCCCCCTGTACACTGGGAATCTAATGGCTGAAGATCAACCCTCGGTGATGGGACGGGCAATGGCCTGGAGCCAGCAGGTGATGCACCTTCGGAAGCGGCTGCTTTCACTACACGTAGGGCAGTGCTAGAGGCTGGGGAGAGAAGCTCCTGGGACTGGTCAGGAAGGGCGACAGCCTTCCCGGGCAATCATTTCCTTATGAGTTTCTCCGCTTGGATTCAACAGAGGCCGCACAGAGCTAGATCCCAGTGGAGAGCTGACACAGGGCGGGGCACCTGAGCCATGAGGCCAGGCTTGTGACCATTTCTGCTCTGTGCACTCCTTGTTTCCTGTTGTTGAGCCCAGGGAAAAGTCTTGGGGAAGGCCCCCCTCCTGTGTTTTTTTCTGGGCTCCAAGAAGCAAGGGGAGGGGTTTGTGTCCACACTAAGGCCAGAACACAAAGGGAAGGTGCTCATAGAACTCCCCCTCGTCAGCCAGTACAAGTACTGGGGACCTCTCAGGAAATGAGAGCTAGCAAGATTGGAGGGTGTGCCAGAGAGAGTCTGGTTCTTCAACTGAGAGCCCAGAAGGCTCAGGAGCCCATGGTGCACGTGCTGGTGCTGCATGGGCGCTGTGCCAGGTGAGAGGTGAGTCCCAGCTAAGTCCCACAGCCTACAGCAAGGAGCCGGTCAGAGGTGAGAGGCCCCAGGCAGGCCCCTGCCCCAGCTGCCCCACAGAAGATAAGAAAGATGGAGCTTGGCAGCAATTTGTGGGAAGAAAGGCTGACTGGATTATTCACTGTCAAGGCCACATGAGTCAGCAGAGATGGCACTGGGCTGCCCAGAAACCCCTGCCCCCTGGGCAGCATGAACTGAGAGCAGGGCACATACCTGGAGACAGGCAGATGAGTGGGGGCCCTGGAGAGGAGAGAGAAGGCAGGATCCCTGAGAAGTGTTTGAAGGGGTGGCTTAACCGGCCCATGCTCACCTGGGGAGCACTAGGAAATTTGTTCTGGGAGGCTGGAGAAGGGCCTGGCCATGGGGCTGACTAGTAAGCCTTAGCAGGCCTCATGCCTGGGGCAGGACTGAGCAGACACCCTCCCCATCCCCTCAGTATCCCCAATGCAGCCCCCTCTGCCCTGCTTTCCACCATCTCCCTCTAAGATCGCATTTGCAGAAAGAGTTCTGTGGGTGGTCAAGGCCTGTGCCTCCACTAGCCCAATGTCTAAGCAGAAGAGGACAGGAGGCCCCAGGAAGCAGGGAGCATTGACTATCCCAGGTGCCAGCCGCAGGGGCAAGAAATCAGAGCTGGCAGGACCCCAGATCTGCCTGTCCTTGCTCTATCACTCGCTCTCTGTAATCAGAACCTTTTGCTCAACAAACAGCAAGTTCTGCTGGCCCCGCACTGTGGGTGCGGAGGTGAGAGGACTTGGGCCCTGCCAGGAGAAGCACAGGGTCCTGTGCTGAGAGGACTGGGGACAGAGAGGCCAGGAGAAGCACCCAGGAGAGAAATGGTGGGACTTGATTAACGCCACCAGGCAGTGAGGGTGGAAAGGAAAGGCATTTCTTGGGCCCTGGATAGACCCTTGAAAGGCATTTGGGATGAAAGAGTAAGAGGAGCCAGCCAAAGACATGGAGGAGTGATGGAAAACCAGGAGTGCTTGGGTTCGCAGGACTGGGAGGAGAGACAGGTGCCCCAAGGGAAGGAAAGACACAGCAAAGCTGCTGAGAGGCTATGCCCAGGGAAGGAGAGAGGTGCCCCAACTGGGCATCCCTCCTGACTGGGTATGCATTGCAGATGGCAGATCCTGCATGGCAGTGGGAGGAATGAATGTGCTCACACCAACTGAAATGATAGGTAAGGAGCACAGTGAGGAGAGCCCGATGTCATTCAAATGCCTAGGAGAGGCTCGGTGGGGTGAAAGATGGGACTGAAGGGGGAAAGCCTGCATGTGTGCGTGCAAGTGTTCACTGGGACATGCACGGGCCAATGACAACGGGAAGACAGGGTGTCCAGTCACCCTAAGGTCCAAGGTAAAGTGAATAGTAATTTCGAAAGTTAGACAAAGCCTGTTTGCAAAGTTGTGGGAGGGAGGAGAGTGGTACTTGATAATTAGGAGCCCTGCAGGCTGGGAATGGCAGGGCCCGCAGGAGGCTCTGGGGTCACCCCTCTTCTGGGATGAGGAACTGGGGTGTAGAAGGCAGGTGAGCAGTTGACAGTTGTGCCCCCAGATGGCCATGAGGTCCCCATCTGAGGGGAAGGCAGCCCTGTAGGAGGTGTCTCTTTTTTGGTCAGAGTTATACAGGCATGTGGTTTAAAGTGGCAGATTGTTTGAGGCCGAGGCTTGTAACAAAAAGCAGCAGCTGCTCCTCCTCATTTCGCCTTCCCAGAGCCAACCAGTTTCAGCTCCTTCCAGGGGCTCTCTGGGGTAATTACCTGTCTGGCTCAATAATGGGCCCCCGGCTCGTTCACTGTCACCGCCCCCACACATCCTTCTCCCTCCACCGGCCTGCCTTCCCTCTGGCTGCACCCAGAGCTGCTTCATGGGTGCTCAATGCTTCCACTATTCTGATTGCTGGGGCCCAGGCAATGATTTCTTTCCTTGTCCTGAATGACTTTTAAAAATCAGCTTTATTGCCCCAGCCGGTTTTGTTCAGTGGTTAGAGCGTTGGCTGAAGGGTCCCGGTTTGGGTTCTGGCCCAGGGCACGTACCTCGGTTGCAGGCTGGATCCCCAGCCCCGGTCGGGGCACGTCCGGGAGGGAACCCATCGATGTGTCTCTCGCACATCGACGTTTCT